TGTGTACAAACAAAATTCTCGATGATTTTAATAATCTGTTTGCCATTTCCCAGACTCCTTATATATATGGCAGTGTTGTTCGTTTAAACGTCGATCTTCCTGCTGGCTTGTATTTGAGGCTTCTCCCGGGGCCTCAGTGGTTATCCTCTCTTTGTGTGTCGTATGTAAGCAGTGTAGGTATCCAAAGAACACCTCAACCAGGTGGTTGCTTTGAAAGCTAATGATCTGATCCGGGTGGGATAGCTTCCGATAAATGTCAGTTAACATTTTTCCATCTTCGGTTCGTATCAACACACTTCCAACAACAAGACTTCCAGCTCAGAGAGATCACCAAAACCAACATCCGCATCCAGAGATACAACCATTTCACATCATTTCCAACGGAGCGCTATTCGAATTTCATCTTCCCGGATTCGCAGACGGTGTTACACTGCGCATAGGAGTCAGTGTATTCACAATCAATTCTATTCACTCACGAGATGAGCGTTGATTGCAAAAGTTGTGCAATATGTGTGTCCAAAGCATATCTGCAGTTTTCATTATATCGGGGTGGGGGGTGTTCAGCATTTCCGAACCCTAGCCCTCACTGATGTTAGGAGTCAATCAACGGATTTTCGCTACATGTTTTTACTGGTGTATGTTTTGGTCTTCCTACCTGTGAAACAGGTTAACGCTTTCTTGTTGAACTATTACCGTCAGTGCATGGGTCCCCGTTGAACCTTATGGCAAATCTCTGCCCATGAAAACTGTTAGGAAGATATTCAATTTGTCGCCAGATTCATATATTGTATTTTGGAGTAAACTATTATATAACACTAATAATATTAATAGTAATTTTGGGGATAATGATAATATTGTACAAAATGTTATTACTATACCCGCATTTAAGAATGTAGTGCACCCATTTCTTGTCTCTGCTGGGTTTGTATCCCGAACGGAACTCTACCTCAACCCAAACCGACGTCAGTGGCTTTCATATTACCTATCTATGGTTCCTTCGTGTTCTGTATCTAAATCTGGACACACTACCTCCCACGGTCACACAAACAACTCCTTGATGGTTAAAATAGTGAGTGCCCGAACGAAGCAGCCAGAGATCACATATGAATAAGTATTGTCGACGTCTGTACAAACCGGAAATGAAATTACGCTGAAGTAAGTATTGTTTCCGGTGCTTCCCAAAAAAAGGAAAAGGACTCGGAGATGCAGCTTGTGACGGTTTACGATTATATATAGTGATAAAATCCACTTTCAACAGAAGCTACGGGAAAACCGCTGAATATGATCCGGTGGAGAAATCCATTCAGGGCGATTCTCACTCATGACTACATCTGATCAGTCAACTTGAGATCGAGGTTCAAACGTTTAGTGTATAAAATCTAAAATCGACCTAACGGATCCGGTTCCATTACGTTTCCGTAGTGAACTAAGATACCTCACATGAGTTGTGAGAGGAGTGGTGTCCCGTGAATCTCATTTCATAAACTCCCGCTGTTTGTACTTTCCGACCACCGGAGAGGGGGGGAGTGGCATTTTCTTCGGAGACTAATTGTATAATGCACATTTCAGCATCTTAGCTCTCGATATCAATCGTGTTGTTGCAGATAAATGAGTGGGTTAAAATACACCAAAATGTCAATCGTTTGCAGACAACACGTACACGCATGATCCGAAACACAGCGAGTTGTTTTCTAAAGGTCAATTCATTACTCGTGAATCCGACCGAATTTAACTGACATTTTAGTACACATATCCACCAAGTGATTAATTTCCCTCTGGCATTGGCGTCTTATTAACGGGGTAGATAGGACCGTGGTTAGTTTACAATGTCGCCTAAATGCTTCCAGTCAATTTATGACTGACAATGTAGGATGGAGTGGATTTCGAGGGACTGGGGCACATTTGATTATTTCTTTTTTGAATGTGTATGACTGGGACAAAAGTGCCACATGTTGAACGATTTGCAATCCGCATTTTCAGTTCCAGCAAGAGAGGTTTTTAACTGAACGAAGTTAGTTCAGACGCCACTGCGACCATGGACTGGTTGCTAAGTAGATAAGGCATGCAATGCAACTTGAACACTTCTACTTTGAACACACAACGGAGGCAAACATGTGATTCCGGTGAATTCCTTTTCCACCTTGACACAGCTCCACTTCTACTTTGTGTAAGCCAGCGTCGATTGTCTACTCCAATTCGTGGAGATTTGTTGACATGCGCTCGGGCTTCACAAACATGTATCGAGTCTTACCACACTCGTCGAGAGCAATACGGTTTCGAATGTTAGCATAACGAAACGCATAACGAAAATTTATCCAAGCTCTCACTCTCCCCTCCCCTTCCCGGTCCCTTGGCCAAGACAAGACAAAATCGTTTGTTCACATGACCATGACGTAACATGGCAAATTTGGGTTACTTAAACCAAATAGCGTGCAAATTTTGAGTTCCCCGGGGCTCATTACCAAACACATGACTTATCCACCTTTCTGTTTGACCCTATTGAAGCTGTTTCATATGAATATGATTATAAACGCTTGAAAAGGAATTCACCGAAAACATATGTTCTATGTTGTATGTTTTTAATTAGTGGTAGATTTTGTGCTTCAAAATGTCCTACGTTTTTATTTAAGATCATTCACCATATTATGTTCTTCAATAAAATCTTACGATTTTATTAAACACCATCTATCTATAGATGTCTATTTGTCGCAATAAGTTTTCATACCTAATCAATATCTCAATCGACATAGCTTTCTCTTCACTGCCACTTTATACGGAAATGCATTTGACTTTTGATCTCCAGCCCTGACTCATTCTGTTGTTCACACTCTTTAGCCTCTCTGCTAGGCTCACTTGCCCAATTTAGTCACCTATATAGCTGAATAAACTACGCTGTATTCTGCCCATCAAATATTCGTCCAATGTCTTTATGCATCTGACCGCTTGAGGTGATATATGGAATCGACACTTTTCGTAAACACTGATTTCTAAACAGAAACATTTTCCCTATGATCTGCAAGACAGTTGTGCAGGAATTCGCCTACAGAGCGTGCTTCATGCCGTTCCCTGGCTTTTACTACTGGCACAAACTTTTCCGGGTTGAGTAGCGAATTTTATGTTTAAGTTTGCATCTAGCAAATTGGCATTCGTTGTAGTAATTTGGATTAAATGCCAGTTATGTTTCGTTAATCGATTGAACTAACTGATTTTTGTTGGAAATATGCTTTCTATTGACAAGATTTGCCAATCGAACAGAATTGAAGAAAACGATTTGACAACCTATCAAAGACCGATTGGCCGTGCTGTCATGGTCCTGCTGGCACAACGTGACCGAGGTTACTCGATTTCAAATTCGGAATGAGTTTTCATTTGAGAGATCCCGTGACTTGTAGATGGTCGCCAATCACACAAAACGGTTGCATATTTGGTCGACGAACACTTTCAATATATCCCATTGCTTCTGTTCGCTGAGCTTGGCAATTTGTTTGCAAACGTTTCATCACCAGGCGAAGTGACGTCGCCCGGGGTTGTGAAGTTCATCCGAGTTACGTGAACCCTTTTTCCATACTTTGTCAACACCTCCAATATATATATATACATCACTTGAAATGATCACATCTTATTCAGCCAAAGAGACTAATGACTAATTAAATCGTGGATACTCCAGTGCCTCAGAAATATTACTATTTCTCCCACTGATCAAAGTCATTCCGGACAAAAAAACTAATTCATCTTTTGCTTTAAACCAAATGACCCTCAAGTTAACCGTTGCCCTGGACTAACGCCCGACGTGTTTGCTATGATCCTTCGTAAATGAAAAAAGTCTGATCATTGAGGTCTTCATGAAAATATCCTAGTTCATGGAGACTCGTTCACAATCTGCAATACACATTCATGAGGTGCACGAATTAAAGTATCGGTTGCGTACATCCTGCTCAACGCATTCCGGTAGCAAGTGTGGTTTTTACTAATATATGTGAGAGCATAACGCCAACGCTTAGAATCATACCCTGGTTCATGAGCCGGCAATATGTGGTTCAACTGAAAGTGTAGGGGGAGAGTAAACCCTTATTGCATACCCGTCAAAAATAGACATATTGAATGCGTTAAGACCCTAATGATTTTTCACTCTTTTGTGTCATAGAGCTAATATGGGATCAGCATTGTCGAGAACTGTGTGAGTCAACCCCGAACCGCCCCTCTCTCCTCCCTCACCCCTCCCTCACCCCCCCCCACCCCCCCCCTCGTGGAACAACAAGTTCCGCACACAGCTATGTTGTTTTGTTAGATGTTTCAGCTGATTGTGGGTTTTGATCAAGACACTCTCGGAAAATTCTTTGCTCTGGTTTGAAAAATATGTTTGTGCCACGGGCAAGCAGAGTAATGACTAGAATTCTTTTTCATTATTATGCTGGTCACATTGGATTGACATACATTCCAGTTCAGCTAATGATATTTCTCGTGCATGGCTCACCGTCCAATAGTTTCGAGTGGCATTCTTTTGGCCCACATAGCCGATTATATGATTCTCCGTGTCAACTGTACGGCTCCGGTCTGCGCCCAGTCGAGCGGACCATGAAGATGGTGCAACTGTGGTTCGAATGGATTGGGCGGCACGCACAGGTTTGCAATCTACCAGCACAGCAGTCCCGACTCGGCTGGAGGTAATGATCATATGATGCCAAGTCTGCGGACGTAATCGGATAGGACGGGTTCGCAAATACCGACGCGTTTCCACAGCGTGACCGAGGAAGGTGCGATGAAAACGGACGACTGTGTACGGACCCTCGTAGGCTGTGTTGATTACAAGGAGCGATCTAAACAGGACACGAGAAGGGAAGAAATTTCAACCGGTAGATGCAACTGGGGATTGGGTTTTACAGAGAACAAAGGAGAGGGTTTT